CAGACCTATTATTATATTATTGACTTATTGAAAAAGACTTGAGTGCCCTTCTTTAAGTAAGAGGCACTCGAACTAACATAACAGTACACATCAGCATTCTCAACAAGTACAAAGACTGAAATACCCCTTCACTAACACCACTAACAAGAAGTTTATGCAGTTTGTGTTTTTCTCTGAGTATTATAAATTTATCTATGTAGTTAAGAAGAAATTATTAGTAGCAACACATGACTTATCACTTATAACAATCCTTTACATATGTAGAGCTTCTTTAATTTTACATTTAATTGATAATTTCTTGATGAAATAATTAATTTTTGTGTAGGCGATTGCAAGGGAATAATTTTGAGGGTCCAATGCCTTCTAGTCTCTCTAAATTGGTTTCTTTAACTGATCTGTAAGCTTTTGCTTTTTGTTATTCCTTCATTAGATTTTTCTCATTAATGTAGTTGTTTCAGTAACTGTTGTATATTATTGTATAGGAGAATAGGTGAGCTATCTAATACAAGTTCAACAATGGATTTCATTAAAGATATGAAGAGTTTAACATCATTGTAAGATACATTTTGTCCTGATATGGTAATGTTATATGTCCAAGTTCTTTTTCTACTAGTCACATTCATTTAATATGAGGTGCCATTTTTCTTAGAGTTTTGAGAAATTGTATGATATCTGGCACTATTCCACCGTACATTGGAGAGTTCCAAAATTTGCAATATTTGTAAGTAAATATTTTTTATTTGATCAAAATTCATTTGGGTACCTGTGTTTGTACAACAAAATCATTCTACTTAATTATTTTTAGTAAAAGTAAAAGGGGAAAGAAATGTCTTTACTGATTTTGTTCAAAACCTTTGTTTATTTGGTGATAGGGATTTAAGCTTCAATAATTTGACAGGACAAATCCCAAACTCTCTATTTAATTTAAGGTCTCTTCGATGCTTGTAAGTAACAAAGGAGTTCCCCTCCATCTTTCAATAGATATCAACTTTATTTCCATACAATTACCTTTTAGTTTTTGCAATGAACAGGTCTCTTGGTAACAACAGCTTATCAGGCAGTCTTCCTGCTAAAACAAGTAAAAGTCTTATTGTCATGTATGTCCTCATAACATAACATATAGAATTTACTACCTTTCCAAATACTAAAAACAATTGGAATTCTTATGATAACACAATTAATTTATTTTACCTTTGCATGATTTGCACACTAATATTCTTCCAAATGTTTTATATGCAGAGATTTATCATACAATGAACTATCAGGAAGTTTTCCTTCATGGGTGGTGACACCAACTCTTCAAGTGTATGTCCAAGAATGTTACTATTTACTTTTCTAGTTTTATCAAACTACTCTCTTTTTAATTAGTTGAATACTCCTTTCTTAAGGAAAAGTTTATGAATAATTATAAAGGGACCTAGGAGGGGCAGAGAGACATAAAATTGAACCCTTGAAGACTTCATGAGGAATACCAAGGGTGATAGTATTTATTTGTTGTCATGGATCTATTAACTGCTTTCATTTATTTATTTGTCAAAGCTTTTAGTTCCTCTCTTGACTTGCAAACCTTCTTTTTTTCACTGCCACCTAATCTTTGGTTCTAAACTTCTTTCTCCATACATGTAATTTCCTTTTTATATCTTTCCCTGCTTTGAGTTTTTATCATTATTGAATTGGACCTCAACATCTTGGTTCTAAGTTTGCATCATCACTTGGAAGATAGTTCATACTTCACTACATGAATATCTTTCACTAGTATGACAAGACTTAACCCCATGTGATATTGATATCTCTTTGTAGGCTCTCACTAATCCTCCATCCATTTTTATTCAATTTTTCCACCTTTATGTGTTGATCATTATTCAATTATATTCCCCTCAAGCTACTAGTCATATTGTCTTAGCTTGCACTCTTTACATTGTATTGCCCAACCATCACATCCTCAACGTGCTCCACCACCACACCACCAACCTAAGCTAACCCATCTTAATCTAATGTCTCGATACTCACTAGCATGGTTTTTAAAACTGGACCGGACTGGAAAAGTGGGAATCAGTTCTGTTTTACCTCAGAACTGTTATTTCGCCAAAAACCGTTGATTTAGTCAGAAACCGTTAATCCAGGTGACTGAATCATTCATTGGTTTTGACTATTTTTTAATTTTTGTCAGAATAGACCATCTATTTGATTCGAATGGTCAGACCATTTGACCTAAGAACCGGACCCCTAACCAGTTTGTTGTCCGATATGGTTTTAAAAACCTTGCTCACTACTGAAGTGACATCTACATTATGATATCAGCAGCAACTCCACACATCATTACAAATATTTTCTTGATCATTATTTTTAAGTTAATCTTCCTTAACTTCTATGTCATTTTGAACCTTCTTCCAATAACATGGTTTTATAGAAGCATTTTGATGAGCACCTATAATAAAAATTTTTGTCACCATTTTGCACCACTTGGTATGAGTTTTGTCATGTTGGATCACTCTTCTAATACCATCGTGCTTATCTATTGACTACCTTGGCTCACACCAAACTAGCCCTTAAATATTACAGTGTTATCCTCTACCACAACCCAACAAAAATTTTCTTTTATCATACAACACACATTCCCCAAGGACTGTCACAAAACAACTAATTATTGCATCCATCAGTTGAAAGATTTTTTTTAGATTTAACCTCATCACTCTCTTACTTTAATCTGTAACATGCCATATTTTTTATTAATATCTTACTTTTCCATGTTTATATTTTTTTTTACCTTTCAACATTTTTATTTATCATCTCTAAGCTTATTATAGTGAGCAGAATAGAAGATTCTCATATTAAATCTTCTACCAAAAATCCTCTCTCGTAGTTCTTATCCAAACCCTTGAAGGGTTTTCTTTCAACAAGTTGACCTCTACATATAGTCTTGCTTCTGTAGTACAAGTAGGACATTCCCAATAACTCAAGTAATGAACTTCAAATAATTCTCATTGTATAGATTAGATTCATTCGAAGATGGGGATGGTTAATCTTAGAACAATAGAAGGATCCAACCCAAATCAAAGTAACGAGACTATTTGAACACAATTGAAATTAATTTTTTTTTTCATCATATAAAAAACTTCCTTTTAACTTAACTTTGAGAAACTCATCTTCTTTGAAAATCGGTTTAAGATGTACCTTGAATCCAAGGAGGTAATAACAAGTATCCCTTGGAAAATTGGATTAGGATAGTTTGCCCACCTTTATTTCTTTAAACGCCAACTTCTGCTTATCACTTGCGGAAATTCCTACCAATAACATAGTATTGATTATAGCTGACATCTATCATAATAAAATGTGCAGGAATCTGGTAGCAAACAACTTCATATTTGATAGATCAAATAGCAGGTTAGTTATCATATTATGAAACCATCAAAAAGCATTTTTAATTAGTCAATTGCATGGCTACTAAGGAAATACATCACTTTGTTATATATTATGTTCTCGCTTCTCAGAACATTATCATTGTGCATACAGTGATTTTGGAAATTTGAACCACGATGTAAGCCATCTCTTTTTCCTTCCACTTTTGTTCATTTAACATTTCAAATGGTGCTTTATAACATGGATGCTTTTTCATCATTTCATTTGATTTTGAAATTTTCACATCAACAAAAAAAAAAAAGAGGCATGCTATTAAATTGTACATGCTTTTGTTTTGATAAGTGAAAACAAGTTGGTTTTATTTAAAAAAAATCTTGTTTTTGAAACCTTCAAAATGATGGTTTTTAAAATGAAAAAAAAAAAAATTGAGTAGAGAGATATTATATGATTAACGAAACATGATAATGAGAACATGCTTTTCATGGGAGAAATTAAAGAGCACTTTTCTTTTGTTTCAGTTTTGAAAAGAAAAAAAGCACCTATACAACCAAGACCATGTTTCCAAGTTTGTTTTAAGAACCAATTTGTTTTTAAATCAAATGGTTTTAATTTGTTTTTGGAACTTTCAATAATTCATATTGGAGGATACCCTTTAATTAGGATCAAGTAGAGTGTTTTTCAGAAAACACCATGGTATAATGGTGGTGTTTTATACAAGGATATATGCCCTAGAATTACTTAATTAATAATGGTACCTACATTACTTGTTAAGAGGTATATATTATCCCAAACAAATTATATATATATGTAAGTGCACTTAGTTGAAAATAAACTAAAAGCATACTAATTGATTTACTCTCTTGTAGTTTACAATTTTTCAATCAAGTGTGGTGGTCCAGAAATGGCATCTTCTACTGGAGTAGAATTCGAGAGAGACAATGAAACTCTTGGCCCAGCATCATATTTTGTTTCAAATATCAGGAATTGGGGAATTAGCAATGTTGGACTATTTAATGAAAGAAAAAACCCTGAATATATCCGAAGTATCAATTTAGCACAAATCACAGGAACTTTAAATCCTGAATTTTTCCTGACAGCAAGGCAATCTCCAGGATCAATAAGATACTATGGCCTGGGTTTAGAGAATGGAACCTACAATGTGCAATTACAATTTGCGGAGATAGTATTGGATGATGCAAGCTCTTTCACTTGGCAGAGTCATGGCCGACGTGTTTTTGACATTTATGTACAAGTATGTATAACTTTTATCGTTGTTCTTGAGTTCAACAGTACAAGCATGCATTCATTAATACAATATTTACTACATGTTATTAAATCTAGATCTCAACCAATTACATTAAAAGATATCTTTACTTTTTATTGATTTATGTTTTACAAAATATAATTTTACGTACTTTGATGTTTAATAAGATATGAACAAAAGATATATTTGGTCTTCGTCTTTTGTTGCACATGGATGCACTATAGATTTTGCCTTGTATTTCATCTTTCTTTTGAAAGGAAAGCAACTTGTTTTTGTTAAAAACTAAAACACAGTCTAAGAACATGTTTCAACTTTCATTTTTTTTTTCTTTTGCCGATGTGACACTTTTACAAACAAATGAAAACAAAAACATTAATTTTATAAAACAACCCCAAGATTTCTTTTTAATATTGTTGAAGTTTGCAATTTAGTTATTCTTCTTCTCTTTTTAAATACCCTACATTCACTCGTAATGCAAATTATTTGCATGGAGTAGTTCAACTATTACTTTTTTTTTAAAAAAAAAACTGTGAAAACAAAAGTATAAGAAAGCAATATATTTAGTAAGATCAACTAACTAATGTCTTATTTATTTTATTGATTATATATGAATATATAATTTGTCAAAAATCATACATACTTATAAAGCGCGGCAATATGATGAGTGCTCCAGGGAAGTCTACGGTCAAAAGATTTTGATATAAGAAAAGAGGCAGGTGGGGTCTCTAAAAGAGTTGTTGAAAAGAACATAAAGGCTCAAGTGTCTGAAAACTTCCTCGAAATTCATCTCTTTTGGGCCGGAAAGGGTACGTGTTGTATACCTAATCAAGGTGATTACGGGCCACTGATTTCAGCCATTAGTGTTACTCCAGGTAAATTATTGTAGAATTGAAATGTGAATTTATAGTATTGAGCTTGAATATGTTGTCAACTGACTAATGATACTGAACACTCAGATTTCAACCATACTGTTAGTGGCGACCAACCTTTAAAAAAGAAGGAAAGGACTGGTTTGATTGTCGGTATTGTAGCTGCTGTTGTTGCTGTTACATGCTTGTTGATAGTTTGTGCAATCTTTTACTTTTACTTGAGAAGAAAAAATTCAAGGTCTAACAACAAGGAAGGTAAATTGGCAAATAATGTAGAGTAATAATAGTTTTCCACCTTTTTTTGACTTTGTAATGAATTCTTGGTTTGAGGTGTCAATATATATTTGAAAAAAAAAATTAAAGTTTCATTTCAGTTTTATTTATTGATTTCATAATTTTGATGAAAGTTCATTTCCTAATGCACAGTAGATGTGATTTCATCTAAACTCTGCTCATTGCTAATAAAAATACAAAAATGTTTGAGCAAAATATGACAGAAATAGTAACCATGAGAACTAGTATACTAATTTTTTTGCATATAAATCTGCAGAGCTTCTAGCAATTGGCCCTAAGGCCCACATTTTCAATTACTCTGAGCTAAAAGCTGCTACAGAAGACTTCAATCCTAAAAATAAGTTGGGAGAGGGGGGATTTGGATCAGTTTATAAGGTAAGATGCATTTTCTTTTCTTTTTTGCAAATTCATAATGCATTGCACGTAGCATTGTGTAATCAAAAGATTGAATAAATCATACTTATCTTGTGGAATGAGTATTGGAAACTTAATTTAAGAAGAAAGAAAAGAAAAGTAGTCAAAAGTGTGGAAAGAAACATGGAACCAAAGGAGAAAAAGAGAGTGACATGTTGTTTCTAGTGTCACAAAATAGGCCACATAAGAAAGAATGCCATGGTTACAAACAATGTCTTCAAAAGAAAGGTAGCATCCTATCTCTAGTATGCTTTGAGTCCAATTTAGCTATTACCTATCAAACACTTAGTAGTAGGTTGACATAGGAACCACCATTCACATTTACAAATTCCTTGCAGGGATTCCTAAACCAACGAAGGATTAGTAGTCATCAAAAGACAAATTCCACAGGAAATGGGGTAGAATTTGAAGTCAAAAACCTTTGGCCTAGTTTGTTTAATTCTCCAAAGTACTTTTGTCCTTGATTTAAAAGATATTATTTTTGTTCCCTCAATGACGAGGAATTTAATTTCTATTTCAAAGTTGAACTAATTAGGTTTTGAATTTTGTTTTTATGATAGATCTTTGAGTTTATTTTATGATTCTCAACTTGTCGGTTTCAATTCCCTAATTGATGGGCCTTATTTACTTGATCTTGATTCCATCTTGGCTCAATCTCTTCTTTTCTCAAACGCTGGAACCAAACATAGCCTTGTGGATTATAATTCTTCTATGTTACGGCACAAACGTCTAGGCCATAAGTCTAGAGAAAGATTAGAAAGGTTGGTCTAGAGGGGATTCTAAACACACTAGAATTTTCTTATCTTAGTGTTTGCATTAAATGGATAAAAGGAAAATTAACCAAGTCTAAAAGAAAGGTGCTACCATAAGTAGGGGTGAGCAGGAAAAACTAAGAAACCAAGCCAAATCAAACTGAAAAACCGACCAAAATCGAATTGAAAAACCGGTTAAACCAAATTGGTTGGTTCGGCTTTGGTCCAGTATTTTTAAAAGGCCAAAGGTACCAGTTTGCTTTCAGTTAACCAATATAGAAAACCGGAGGTTATTCAAACTGACCAGTATACATATAATATTTTATATATATTTCTGATTTTCTATTATATATTTATATACTTTTTATAATATATAGTATAAATATTAAAAAATCAAAAAACCGATGAACCATACCAATGGTTAACTGAACCAGTTAAGCAATCGGCTTCGGTTCAATTTCGATTACTGGTTTTCCAGAAACCAATGATACCTGTTTGGTTCCAAAAATAAGCCCACAGTTCGGTTAACCTAACTGTGAGCACCCCTAACCACAAGTAACGAACTTTTAGCATTAATCCATATAGATATTTATGGTCCATTTGAAAGAATGTTAGGATCCATCGTATGGACGCCAAAAAGGTTGCGGAATGGGTGGGCGAATTTCAAAAATTTCCTACATTTCTTCCAACTGGGAATCATATTCCCTAAATTTAGAATACAATATTCAAGGATCCTACTTGAACCATAACCGAACCAGATTTGAACCAAAAGACAAGGGAGGAATTATACCTGATCCAGAGAAGCAGTATCTCCCAAAGTTGGTGTTCATGGCCAAAGAAGACACCAAGATCCGCTCTTGCTGAAGATGACACAGCAACTGTAGAATGGAACCAACAGAGTGCGTCCTACACACTGAATTCTTCAGAAGAATCCTCTGGAAACAATGAGCACCGAACTTGATCAGTTCCTTTTGCAAAACTGATATCAAGAACTGATTTCTTGATTCTTCCCTCACACAGAGATCGAACTGTGCAGTGAGTGGCAGCTAGAGGAGAACTCTGGAGATGAAGATGGCGAATGCTGCTTTTCTTCTCTCTGGAGTGAATGAGATCCTATCTCAATTCGCAGGAGGTTTTTCTTTTCTAAAACCCTAGGTTCGAATTCTGTTAATTCTCCTTTGGGTTTCTCCTCTTTCTTCTTGATTAAGAAATCTCCTAATCCCATTAGGAGTTATCCCAATCCAAATCAGCATCTGGATAGGGGATGATCTTAATCCTATCTGCAGATTAGGTTAGCATACTCCTGATCTTATTAGGAGATCACCAAATTCAAATCTCATTTAAATTTGGTCTCTAAGAGTGGATTAGGTTAAAACCCTAATCCTTTTAGCTAACCTTAATCTCAGATCCGCCCCATAAGTGGGTGATCATATCAGCCCAATTCGAAATGGGCTTTTGGCCCATTAAGTAATCAGTGCTCAATTAGTTTCCAATTTGTTGCCCAGTTGGGGTTCTTTGTATGGCGTGAGACCCAAACATTGATCTACACACCAGCCACATGGGTTTGGCCCAACCTTT